GATTGGCCTAGGCGAATCATGGATGCTTACATTGGACTAGTCCAATATCGGATTGATGCAATTCGGTTCACTAAAATATCAATTACTCTTGAGATAGATGTTGAATTCGAATTACTTTTTGAAATTATGTTCACATAATGTCAATTTGTTTATCACAATCGTCGTTGGACAGTTTTAAGTTAAAGTTTAGGAGTTATGAATAAATTTCTACAGAACAACAACTTTTATGAAAAGTTGTTATTAAGTTCTTCAGTCTAAATTTGATTTCTGCCTGAACGCCTGCAATATTTAAAACGGCATTGTACGAACATAATTTCAAAAAAATAATTCGAATCCAACATCTATCTCAAGAGTAATTGTTATTGTAGTGAACCGAATTGCATCAATCCGATATTGGACTAGTCCAATATAAGTATCCACGATTCGCCTAGGCCAATCCGAAATTGGACTGAATCCGACATTGGACGCTAGCATATATATATATATATATATTAGATATAGATGTTTATTTGAATCAAAATTTTAAATAGATTATTAAGAAAAATGAATATGTTTACACATGAAAATTTATGAATTTCGTATTCATGAAGATTATCAAACATGTAAGCAGATGTATTAATCGTTTGACATTTCGACGTCAACATTTGAAAATTTCTGGCATTAAACTTCTCTACAACTATGAGTAACTATAGATCTGGATACATTAATAGTCTGACGCAAAGTTTTTACACTCAATTACTTGAATTTCTTATACAGCTATATTTTCTAGCTTTTTTTGGTGTTCTTTTTCAATATTGATCGTCTGTATTAACTGATTTTACTTATCAATAAATTGTTTTTGACACATCAGTTCTACTACCGTGAGTAGTACCTTAAGTGATGAGTCGCGTATGCATCGAGTGAAACCTTCCTTCATGATGAAAGCTTATCTTACATATTGCTCTTTTTTTTAAGAAACAAGAGAATCAAAAGACTGAAAAATTTCACATTAACCTATTATAGTTAAGATTTGTTCGTATGCAAAGTTTCACGTTAGAATTCAAAAAATTGATTTTTTTTTGTGTATTTAAGACAGACTTCACGTAAACGTCAAATACTATTCCAATATGTGAAGAACTGGATGACAAACCAAACCCAAGTGATCTTTCTTGTCTAAATTCTATTTTTTACCATTTTGAAATCATTCTCTGTCAATCGAAAACTAGAAGTATATCAGAATGAAGCCTTGTTGTTTCGTACATATAAAAATCATCAATAGGAAATAAGAATTCGTTGAGAAAAAGAAAATCTTAGATCATTAATAATGAATTTGATAAAAATTAGTTTGGTTCATTTTTTTTTTCTTAAAATAAAAATACATATATGATATGATCGGATATAGTTTAGTGTTATTGTGTGAAACGATTTTCAAAAAAAAACAACAAAACAACTTTCATATATGTGAGAAGAAAATTTGTTGCAATTGCCAATTTGTTACGATCGAATTTGTACAAGCTGTTTATTGCGTCATGTCGATCTGTCCAATTAGTCTATGTATTATCTTAGACCAATTGGTCATCCTTTTCTTTTCTTAACCAATTAGATAAGTGTGAAATGATTAATTTTTTCTCTTACCGGAAAGAGATAAACATCATAGAGAAAGAGAGAGAGAGAGAGTGATGACAAATTTTCTTTTTTTTTCAATCGCTCTTCTTTTTTTTGGATTGGTCAATAAAAATTAGGCATTGTGATCAATTTACAATATAAATAGAGATGATTTTTCAGCAGTGGGTCAGTATGCAAATAATTCGCACGATCTATGATCACTCATCGTATTCAAAAAGTAAGTTTTTTATTTCTTCGAAATAATTCTTGTCTCTTTGACTTATGGCACTTCGATTCACGGCTTTGAATCAATGTTTGCCGTGTATTACAGTGTCATGCATCGAGAGACATCTTATCGACGATATTTACTTTTTTGATTTTTATATTTGATACAATGTTTATTATTTTAAGGTAATTCAGTTTCGATTAATGGCACATTATTTGAAGACGGTTGAATTTAATTACTCCGTATTTATCAGTGTGCCACCAATCGATCTGAATATTATTCAATATAGAATTATGAAGGTAGAAGTTGATATCAACTATGACAAACAGATAGTTGTGATACAACATATAGAAACTGAAGGATTTAAAAATAAACTTTCTTAAAGAAGTGTTTTTAACATATTAGAATATCAACAAATTAATTTCTCTAGATATTATATTCTACGAAAAAATAAATGTTTTTTATTTCATATGAATGAAATAGATAGACGAATTAAAAATAATACTTTGAATGGAGAAAGTACTGTGTTAGACTAATAGATCAAAAATATAAACAAAAGATTTTGTTTTGTAATGAATGAAATTTTTGTTTAGAAAAATAATCATAAATATAAAATGATAGCATCTATACATGTTCAGTGATAGTAAAAGCTTGAAATGGAATATATTAGAATGTCTGATAGAAAATAGGACTGTGTTGTGTTTTTAGGACGTTTGGGTATGAATATCGTCTGACGACATGTTGTTATAAATAATACTGCAATAATAATAATTATAGACACGTGGTGAGATTATTTGTTTGAATTTAAAAATAACAATTGAATGTGAAAGTGAATAAAGACAATCTTTGTTTGAAGTTGAGCAATGTTATATAACGAATGTTTGTTTATCATATTTAGAGACGTACGCCGATGCATTAATTGATGGCGATCGAAATTTTCGATGTCCTGTTTTCAAAAATTTTCTTTTTTTTGGATGAAATTTCGAAATAATAATAGAAGACATGAAAATTTTTAGCATGATTATAATAAGAAATTAAAAAAGCACATCCAAAAAAATAATGATTCTGATTGTAAAATTTTTTTTTTGGAATGTATCGAATTTTATGTCTTGCAGTTGGTGATTGAACCGATTGGATTACATTTAGAGTAGCATATTTTTGGTGCATACTAATTTGTATTTCCGATTCATTTAGTAGATCAAGCTCTGTTTAAGAGTATATCAAAAGTTATTCTCGAAAATTTGCAAGGTATTTCAAAATCAACTATCAATGTATGTTACGAGCGTATCAATTTGAGTTCATTCTGGATAAATATACTTAGCGACAAAGTTTAACCTACGTTATCGAACTTCGAGATTTGAATGCTAGTGAATTATCGTATTGTAACTTTTATCTCATTCAACGGACATCTGTCAAAATAATCTTTGTGTTAGTTGTTGTGTTTTTTTATAGACAATAATATATGTTTGAGAGAAAACATAATGAGCTTTGTTTGGTGACAATAGTGATTGCAGTTAATATTAATAGTGTTGCTAATACGGTTGGATCTGTTTGATGTACAACAGATAATTGTCATCTACTACCATTTAAAAAATACATGTTGCTGTTTAGGGGTTTGGTCCAATTTCATTGTCACTGTTTATTCAGGAACCTATTATAGAGAAAAATATATGCAACTTGGTATTAGAGAAAATTATTATAATAAAGAAAAAAAATGAGAGTACAATTCAATAATTCCTAAGATAGTGGACGCAAAATATCAATGCAATTTTTCACCGATCGTATTAAAATATTCATCTAATGATAAACAATTTTTCTCATACTATTTCATTCAAACGTGAATTAGATGATTATGAAAAAAAAAGATTTTTTTTTGCCGGCGTGAGAATGAAAAGGCGCAGTATCTAAATGAACATTCTCTGATAAAAAGCGATTTTATGGTCTTCCTACTGATGAAAATGCTTGTTTTAAAAAAGTCGGATAGTGTCATTACTATTTTGTTTATTTCGTTCGGGTTTATGAAATCGATGGAAATATATTAAAGGAAAAAAAATGATGAGAAAAAGAATTTTTTATAAATGAATAAGTGGTAATAAATGCTACTAGTTGTAGAATGCAGTCGATATTTTTCAGTGTACTCAATGATGACTCATAAAAAGAACAGCAAAAAAATTTGTTCTATCTTATCCTTTATTGTCAAATGTCCGCAGACATAAACATTGCTATAAAATGATATTACAAAAAGAAATCGGATTATTTGATTTAACCTATTTGAGTTTTAGATTGACAAAAAAAAAATTTTTTTTTTTTTTTTTACAAAGTTATCGATTGAATGGTTTATAATACAAAATATGAATGTTTTTAATTGTTGAATACTTTTTAGTCCTAAAGCTAAGATCTATAGACTAGGAACTTTTTTTTAGTTACTATAGTAGAATGTTCATGCCTGTACGTATTAGAACGGTATGCCATGAAAATGACTGTCCCCCTGTAAACGATGCTTTTTGAAATTAAGATAGAAGTTTTTTTTTGACAAACAAGAACATGAGTTTGAGTATATCAAAGGTTTTCAGTCATACTTTTTGAATGTCGACATCTGTAGATAATCGTATAATACGAAGAAAAAAAAAACAACCTCATGTCTTTATGTTTACAATAATATAAACATACTGGTAACTAATAGTTTCCATTTCAGTGGTAACTTTGTTTATAGATGTTAGAGAGGTATCGTTGGAGAACAAACAAATGATTTAATTTATTAGTTTTTTTTTTTTTCTTTCCACAAAAGCAGAATGGTTTTAAAGCGTTATTTTTAAAACGTCCATATAGTTTTCAGTAAAACGACCTTGTGTTTTAATCGATAGACTTTTTTTTTAAAACAAACATAATGACAGAACAACGTGGATAGAAAAAGAACAGAAAAAAAAATTTATGTGGTAAAGAAACAACAATTCTCTCTGCCATCCGTCTCTTATAAGTAAAGTTAAAAGAAGCGTGATAAAAAAACAATATTTTGTTATTGACTTTTCACAATCTGTTATTATTACAACATTGTTCATCTGAGTAAAAATCTCTGGGTACGGTTAAATATTCAATATATATGTATATTTTATTACTTCCTATAGAGTCATTCAAAACAAAACAAAAAAACAAGCGAATTTCAATATTGTTGTGAATTTCCATGTTAATCATGATGAAAGCGCGTCGAGGACAAGTATGCCTAAATCCACTAAATAAAATATATATTTTTTTTTATAATGTATAATTAGATATATCCAAGTAAAACTGTTTCCCGTTTTGGTACATGTTGGACATATAAATCTTGGTGTGTCGTTATTTGTGTTGTTACTTTTATATTAGTTTTATCTGGTTTACATATTGGATGGGAGTAAGTTTATTTTTTTGAAGAAAATATAATGATTTTTATTATTATTTTCCATGATAGTTTTCCAATAATAATTAAAAATGGTCATATCTATTATCCAATATTATTTTGTTTAGCACTTTTTTATACAATAACAAATTATCTTTTTGCAGCATTACATGATCCTGGTGTTATACCACGACCAAATGCAGATGAAATTCTTCTTGTCGAAAAAGAACATAATATTCAAACTGATTTGTAAGTTTAATTAAAAATTTGTTCGGTTTGTTTTTTTCTTCTTCTTTGAAATAAAAATTGAGTAAAATATGTTTGATATTTTTGTTTTCTTCTAGAGAGGGAAAATATTTTCCTTCTATGCCACCACCAACAACGATATTTGTAAAAAACTGTTCATATACATCTCCTTATTGTTATACATGTCGAGTTTATCGTTTACCACGTGTTACACATTGTTCAGTTTGTAATGTTTGTATTCAAAATTATGATCATCATTGTCCATGGAGTAAGATTTTGTTTATTAGAAATATTTATTTTGCTCAACAAATCGTAGCGATTCGATAATGTATGTTTTTATTTCAAAAATCTAATGATTGTGAGATAACTGAAAAACGTAATGTATTATCATGCAGACGTGTCTATAGTTAAGAAATATAATAATATGAAAATCAGTGGGCTTATCTATTAAAGTATTTATTTAATTCAGATTAATTTCGAGATGCAAAAGCGTTCAGATGAATAGCATATTTTATCATATAATAATAGCCGATTAAAGTAGTAAAATACGTTTTGTTTGATCTAATGTATTTTAGCTATGTTGATGATGCATTGATTCGATATTTTTTGAATAAAAAAAACTATCTTGGTTTATTTTTCCTGTATATTTGGATTAATTAGAAATTTCTAGAGAGTAGATTATAATTATTTCTGTTTTTTTGTTTGTCTTTAGTTAACAATTGTGTTGGTTTATTGAATCATCGTTATTTTTCCAATTTCCTTCTTTCATGTTCATTACTTTGTATTTTTGCAATTGTTGGTTGTGTTTTAGCTGCTTATTTTCGATGGAACAGCTATAAAGATCAATCTGGTCTCTTTTTTGCATATAATATTCCAAGTTTTATTAATGGTTTTGTTGGTATTCTTCTTGCACTCGCACTCTTTCCATTTTGGTGTAATCATTGTGGATTAGCAATGAATGCAGTTACAACAAAAGATGTAAATCATCAATAAAAAGAAAACTAATCTTGATATTTAAATTAAATCGTTATTATTTTTTTTTAAATAGATGAGTCGTGGACAAGATTTAAAAGATAATGAATTTTCTACTGGTTCACTATGTCAAAATTTAATTCTGTCATGGTGTGGTCCATTACGACCATCGTAAGTTCTTAACTCTTTATATTAGTCTATTAATAATGTAAATTATAGAGTTGATTGGAATGCATTGTATGATGAAGATCATTATAAAAAACAAGAAGAAATTTATAAAAAAATTCGTCCAACATTATTAAGCAATACACTTGCAATACCAAGACAAAAAATAAAAGAACATATTCAAAGTTTAGCTCTCAAGAATTATTTTGCTATAAATCAACAAATTGAAGCTTTTTATCGAACAAATAAAAAAACTTCACGTAAGATTAATATTTAGTTTTATTGAAAGCACTTTCCGTAATTTCAATATTTACAGTACTCATCAACATTGTCCAAATCAGTATAAATTTGAATTTTTCCATTTGAAGTTAAGTCCTATAAAAGAATCTAAATAGTAACTTATAGTACTAAAAGCCTAGGTTTTCAATGCGCAGAATCTAGTAACTAAAACTTGTTTTGAAAGCGGAATGTGATAGAGCAAATTGAAAATAATACAAAACAAAAACACCTTTTGAATCTTCTTATATCCTCTTATGTGAAAACAAATTTACTTTTGGTTGAATGACTTTTGATGACCTGAAGAAGGAGGATGTGAATGTTAGTATAGATGTTCTATTCACTAATATTTAAGTCATATGCTTCATCTAAACTATAAGAACAGACTTTTCTAAAACTTTATACGTTTGTATATAATATAAGACTCCCATTCTTGTATTGCGACGAAGAATTTGATCTAAACTATTAATTATTGAGTTTTTTTTTTTTTTGCAGAACGTAACCCATCATTAATTCCTGTTGATGATATTCATTATCTTCCAATGCATAATATTGAAATAAATTATATTGATAGTAATCAAGTTAATGTTCGTTATTTATTGATTGAAGGTAATTATTTTATTGAATACAAACATATGAAAAGATTAGTTTTTTTTTTGTATAGCTGTTCAACCAACAAATATTTCAACATTTTGGAATACAATATGGTTACGTAATGTATTATCTATTGTTATGCTTTATGAGATAAATGAAAATGTAAATAATGATTTCGATTAGATTTAATTGACATATTTCTTTTTTTTTTGTTTTCAATAGAATTCTTTTATTCAATATTGGCCAGATGAAAAGAATCCGTCAATAAAAGTTAATAATAATTGTTATCAAGTAGATTTTATTCGTATTCTTAAACGATTAGATATAGTAACATCTCAATTTAAAATACAGAAAGTAATATAAAAATATATAAATGAAAATTATTAACATATATATATATATATTTGATTTAGATTGATGAAAATGAAACTCGTATTATTGAACATCATCAAATTAAAAATTGGACTGAAACAACATTTTCATTAGATCCTATTGCACTTCTACGTCTTCAATATAATATAGATTACAGAGAGAAAGAAGAAAGAATTCATGATAATAATCGAAGTATTATTGCTATACATAGTTGGTAAGAGAAAATAATCAAACTTGAATATTGATTTATTTCAATTTGTTGTTTCTTATTGTTCTAGTGAAATTAATACACGAGCATTTGCATATATGATTATTGATATAAATCGACATTTATTAATAAAATATAATTATATAAATGTACTCAATACAATAACTCGACTTAATGAACAATTACCAATATGTTTAATCAATGATGTAAGATAGAATAATATTAATTGAATATATATATGAATAATAAATATATATTTAGCATGTGTTAATGGTTATTTATTGGGTAATACTTCATCTTTCAACATGGACTTATCTATCTGATATAATAACACTACAAGGTTTAAATCATCAAGTTCATAGAATACTTCATAATGCATATCAAGGATACTTTCAAAATTCATTAGTAAATTTATTTCAAGTAAATTATCATTTTTTTTAATATATTTAAAACGATTAGACATAATTTCGAGAGTTGAGAAAACAACGAACTTCAAAAGTTTTTATGAGATTTGAAGATTGAACTGGTCACATCTATCCTAGATAACTCAAGTTAGAGAATTTTAAGGTGAACGGTTGAATACAATTAGGAATACAGATTACTTTTTGACGAATTCTATCAATTTTGATTCCAAATATTCTAAAGTATAGCTTCATAAATAGTGTTTTATCTAGATTTTCTCTTTCGAAGGAACGATTTAAAACTTCTCAATAGTCAACGCTCCATTTTTGGAATCATAAACGTATGTGGAAAATAGTGTTTGTCAATCAAATAAACTATAATCGTTTGACATGAAATTTTTTATTAGTGATACAGATAGTACTGAGCTTTCGAATAAGGACTCTATCGTAGTGAAATTTCCTTCTAATGTCGAAATATTTTCACCCGAATGCAAGCGAACTATATTGGTTTTTCTAGTTCCTTTCCATAAAGTCCGATTTGGGCTTATCGAGCTTTATTCGTTGCTAAAATAGAGGATCAAAGAATTCTCATTTAGATACTTTTTACTTGATAGTAGAACTTTTGACGACCTATATAAAACTGATTGTCAGAATCTAAATCAGTTGATTTGATGAAAATGAAGTACATGTATAACTTTTCAAAGATAGTTGTTAATTATAAAACTCAAGATAATTCAATTAAATGAAAACAAGATTTCTCTTCTATTGATAGACTTTCTCAAATAACAGTTTGAAAGAACTCAATAGCATTTTTCCATGGAGTACGTAATAATATTTATTTTCGAAAACATCAAATTTATTCATATAAGAATTATTATTTCAGATAAAGAAAATCCTTATCAATCACTTTCTATTCATCATAATATTGTTTATTTTATTGATGTAAGTTAACATTGTTTATCTATATCTGTATGTATATATATATATATATATATATGATTTGAATTTTAAAGAGTTATATACATTCAAAAGCATTAATGTTAGTTGTTGGTCGTAATCGTAATGGTATATTAAAAATAATATCAACATATAAAATTCAACATTGTTTCCTATTTCAACAAAGTAGTCATTTAGTAAATAAAATTCAATGTAATCTAGAAAATAAATTATATATATATCTCATTAAAGGATGTTGATTTTATTGAACAACAACAATTAGAACTTGATACTAATTATCCGTCTAGTGATTTTCGACGTTATCAAAATGATCAAGTTTGTATAAGACAAAAAAACAAAAAGATAACGATTTTTTTTTTTAAATTAATTTCTTTTTTATTTATAGTCTATGACTTTCATTTATCAACCAATTAATTCTATTCGAAATATTTTATTATATGAACTTTCTCGATTAATTGTAGATCTTGATCAAAATGATAATATACCAATTTTAATATGCATTGAGTATATAAATTGATTTGTTATTTATTTAAAATTGAGATTTTCTTTTAGTGAAATTCGAGTAGGTGCTATTATATATCTTCTTGCAAATTTAATGGAACAATTCAATATTGATAATACAGTTGATATATATCATCAAGCAAGAAAAATTGCTTATTCTTGTCCTGCATTCCGAACGGAAGTAAGATGTTCTTTATTCTTCTATTGATTTATTTATTAAGTTTTATTTATTTTTCAAGGATGACTTTAGAGATATATATGAATGTATTAAAGTTTGGACAGATCACGATCTAAAAAGTCAAGCGAATTGAATAAATAGTTTTATGATATGACGTAAAGTCAGATGTACACTGAAATGATAAAATCAATAAATACTTGTATTTTTTTTAATTGTTATTTTCATTGATCTACAAATATATTTTATATTAAACTTAAAAGAAATATAATTGAAAATGTTCGAACTTGGTTAATAGAATGATTACTATTTCGTACGACAAAGACCACCATATTGGATAAAAAAGCGAACAAGAAAGATATTTCATAATAACTAATGCTCATATTTGATATTTTCTTTTCATTAGTTCAGTATTTGTTTACTTATTAGGTTGTCACCGCTTCAGTTTCGAAGAAAATATGTAGTGTTAGATGATTGACTCAAGATGAAGTTATTCATTTGACAAAGAATGAACTTTTCAAATTAAGCTAACTATCTATTGTGCATAATTTTTTCTTTGAAAAATTAATCTATATTAATAGTAAAGGATATTAGTAGTGGTAATGAATGTTGTCCAAACACTCATCGGATGTCGAGCTATGATTGGGAGAGTTCGAGTCATAATCTAGACTCAAAAAGTTGGATGCAGTTGATTCAAGTCATTCATTTAAAAACGCGAACACTAATAAATCAACACCCAAATCAATTTCAAAAGAAACTCATGACTTTCTTCAGAACGACAACTTAATCAATGATCTTTTTTTTTACAAACCAAATCTATGTCAATATTTTCATAAACTTGCTAGAATGAACTTGCTAGAGCAGTTTTTTTGTGACCGAAAGGTGAAACTCACATGTGTTCTTCAGTCTCGTTAAACTAATGCAAAATGTGTAAAGTCGAAAAATTCTCGCAGACCAAAGATACTTTTCAGGATAATTGACCATCAGAGAAGCGAT